ATTTTCCCCACTTTTTTTTGAAAGGTGATGAGCCTTACCATGAACTGAATCCATTTGACACTGCTGTTGTTGGTTTCCCATGCCAATATTTGGGAATGAACTGCATACATTATTGTATTTATTGAATGTCAAAGTAGACTCTCTATGGATAAGTAACTAGAAATTTTCTTCAAAATAAACAATATGATGTTGAATAAGCAAAAAATAGTAAATTATATGGGATAAGGGGTCAAAGATTTGTTCACAATAGCTTTAGCAATTATAAAAAGAATATCTTGCACAAAAACAATGATCATAAAAGATGCACTACATGAAATTCTCTATTTAAGCTCATCGATATCAAGATCATTTACAAATAAAATCTGCACTTGCAAAAAGTATATCAAATGTGTGGTTCCACACTTGGTCCAAATATGAAGAAGGGAGCATCAAGGAAATGTATAAGTAGACTATGGTTACTACGTGCAAATCGCTTCATTTCATTATTATTTATTTCGCTGATCAAATACAAAATGTAAACGGACTTTCAATAGTGGCATATGTCTGTTGTTTTCGGGGATCCACTAATACAAAACCAATAGTTAAGGGACATAACCTATAGTTGATAGTCATAACTAGATAAAGGTCCTGATTTTTGCTATAAACTACAAAAAACTTGTGGTTGCAATAGCTCCAATATGCAACTACAAAGTCATAAAATAGGATTGCATTTGCAAATAAAAGCAGTTGTAACTAATAATTTGATGAATATACTTAATGCAAGAGAAATTATACACAAACTGATGATACCAATGATGTTTAAATTGCACAATTGAAACTCCTCCATTCTCTCTTTCTTTTCATTTCTACATTTCTATTTATTTATTTGCAGTAGATTCTACACACACATATAATTTTAGCTGCCAGGAGTAGATCTTCATTTTCATAGTCTTCTTAAATACATTTATAGGTCTCTTGAAAAAAAACACAATTTGATTTTTAAATATGAATTTGATGTTCAAAACAAAGTTCAAATACCAATACCAATACAAATAAAATCAAGAATCACCTTTCCAGAACATCTTACACAAAAATTGACGAACATAATCTTCATCATTCTTCTATTCTTTACAAATGAATTCATTTTGCGAATAACAACTGCATCCAACTAAGGGAACCATCTATGTTCTCAACAACTATTTGAAAAACTATTTTTATGTACAAAGTGCACAAATTCAATTGTTATAAACAATTTAGTGAACATGAAATTTCTTTCTATTATCTAAGTGCAACGACAAATTGGAATTGAGTGGTTAAATATTTTTAAAAGTTTTTCTATTCCTATTATACATTATATTTGTGAATTTTTAGATTAGTTAAATATTTTGATTTAATTTGTGCTCTTGAAGAAGCACAATTAGAAATTATATTTGTACTAAATGAGTATGGTGTCGATGTTTTTGAAGAAATACAACTCACCTTATATAAATGTTCCAGAAAGACTTATCTGCTATTGAAAAGCATGTCATTACAATTTCAATAGTACAGAAAATTATTGATATATTGTTTCAGAAAAAATAAAAATACATATTAGTATTCTTGAAAAATGCTGTATTGTTTTCTTGAAGAAATACAAATTTATACATATTAATATTTTGGAAGAATATTATAATTAATTTAAATGAATCAATATTCTAGAAGAATATTGTTTTGGTACTATAAAAGAGTCAATAATGTATTATTTTGGAGAATAAAATTTTATTATTAATAGTAATTTATTATTTGTTAAATTAAAGAGAAACATACTAAATATCTAAAATGTGTGATACAATTGAAACAAACACTATACTGAACCAGAAGTTAAATTTGACTTTATTGTTTAGCAGTTGGACCATCGTCGAATAAATATTGATGTGAAATTAAAATTTAACTAGACATTCAACAAAGAACTTGAAGATTCTTTAATTGAATGAATTCCTATATGTTATTTGTTCTCTTTATCGAAAATTGATAATTAAACATCACTAGTTAAAATAGGGAATGAATTCTCTATATTTTCTAAAATTAATTAGGGTGATAAATAGGGTCCCATCATCCTCCACGTTGACTATCTAGATATTATTTGTATCTAATAGATTTGATACATATACTAGATGATTGCATGGTGTTTGCAATCTGAAGTTTCAAAATTATCACTCAAATTTTATATTATGAGCATAATTTTTATATTATACAATCAAAACGGTGTGTCTGTTAATACTAGTGAGCCTAAATATCAACCTTTTAATAAGTGTTAGTTGTGATGTCGATAAATTATTTAACACTGTTACTTATTAAATGCCTCCAATTAATTTAATTGAGAATAAAATACTTCCCATTTCTATTTAGAGAATGTTATTACGCATCATGTCAACATCATATGTCTTTTTATTATAATTGACTTATGGTCGGAGTCTGATTTTTTTATCTAATTATTTTGATAGTGCAATATATGTAAAATTGATCAATTACAATGGATTGAGATGACAAGTAAATAATGCTGAAAAGAAATGAGTAATTTGAATCCTTATATAATATCTCAAACCATATTGGATGATATTTTATAAAGCGATTTGTTGATTGTCAATTTAACTAGACAATTCTCTCAACATTAGGGTGAATAATTAATAAGTTGAAAATAATGTACACATATATCATTATCTAAATTCTCGCAAAAGATAATTCAAATTATAAGTTCGAAAAATAATTTATTTAAATGCATTTACTGCTTGATACCAGGATTTCCATTTATTGAAATTAGGGGAGTAGATGCACTTTTTTTTTTTTTGGCTTCGATCAAGTTTTGTCTCACTAGATTATTTTAATAAGATTTTAATAAACCAGCATTTTATTATTTCAAATTATTTATATTCTTTTTCATTTGTTAGTATTTTTTCCCATTAAATTTTTGCTAAAACTGTTTCAATGAGATATTTATTGTTCAAATAATTATCAAATGGGGAGTATTGTAAAACTATAATATAAATATTTGATGATTATGTAGTTTTATCATCATGTATAGATAAATCTTATTTATCATCATATATAGATAAATCATATATAGATAAATCTTATTTAGAGCATGTTTGGTAGAGATTAAAGTCAGATTAAAATTGAAAAATTAGCCGTTATTGTTGACTTTTATTAGACGAATGAGACCCAATAACGACTATATTTTCAATTTTAATTGAATTTTAAACTGTACCGAACATTCCCTTAGTTTAGAGAACTCTTATTTTGAATCCTATATATATATGGGTTTAAATTATTAATGTAATAGACACCTGAATTTTGACTTGGGAAAATTGCGGCCGTGGTCCCAAACCTTTCATTTTGTTGCAGATTACACCCAAACCTTTTATTTTTGCGGCCGAAGTCCCAAACCTTTATATGTAATTGCAGCGTCGGTCCCACGCCTTTATATGTAATTGCAGCGTCGGTCCCAAGCCTTTAATTCCGTCCATAAAATCGCTAGTCAACGTTTCAACAGTAATTTTGACTCGAAAAAATTGCAACGCTGGTCCCAAACCTTTCATTTTGTTGTAGATTACACCCAAACCTTTATATATAATTACAGCGTTGGTCCATTTCACGCATTTCGTCTATAAAATCATCAGTCAATGTTGAAACAGTAATTTTAACTCAAATGACATCTTACTTGATGGGTAAATTTGTCAAAACAAGTTATCCAAAAAAAATGTTTGTTTTCTTCAAATCTTTCAATTTTTTCACAACCATCACATTCTCATCGTCGATAACCATCTGATCAGATAACAATCTGATCCGATTTGTTATAATAATTGAATCGATAAATTATTTTTATGGCATGTTATTTGTCACTAAAATAAATAAATGAGAAAATAAAAATAAATAAACTGCATTTGGTATTATAATTTATATGTATTATTAAATAATTTTTAAATTGATTAAAAATTAAAAATAATATTAAAATAGGAAAATATTTTTTTAATAATATTTATGCCTAGGCTTTGTCTAAACATGCCGGTTTGGGATTAGCGTTGCAATTTTTTCATTTTTATGGCATGTTATTTGTCACTAAAATAAATATACGAGAAAATAAAAAAGTTTAGTACTAAATAAGAATTTTTAATATTATTTTTAATTTTTTATAAAAAATGTATTTTTTATTTTAATATTATTTTTAATTTTTAATCAATCTAAAAATTATTTAATAATACATACAAATTATAGTACCAAATGTAGTTTATTTATTTTTATTTTCTCATTTATTTATTTTAGTGACAAATAACATGTCATAAAAATAATTTATCGATTCGATTATTATAACAAATCGGATTGAATTGTTATCCGATCAGATAATTATCGATGATTAAAATATGATGTCTGCGACAAGATTGAAAGATTTGAAGTAAACAAACATTTTGAGTTAAAATTACTGCTTGAACGTTGACTGACGATTTTATGAACGAAATGCGTGAAATGGACCAACGCTGTAATTATATATAAATGTTTGAGACTTTGGCCGCAAAAATTAAAGGTTTATGTGTAATCTGCAACAAAATGAAAGGTTTGGGACCAGCGTTGCAATTTTTTCGAGTCAAAATTACTGTTGAAACGTTGACTGACGGTTTTATGGACGGAATTAAAGGCTTGGGACAGATGCTGCAACTACATAAAAAGGTTTGGGACTTCAGCCGTAAAAATAAAAGGTTTGGGTGTAATTGTAATAAAATGAAATGTTTGGGACCACGGCCGCAATTTTCCTTTTGACTTTTATATTTTCTTTTCTTTTTGTTCTATTATTTTTATTTTATAATAGTGGTATTATGATTTCGAAAAATTTGGTGAGAGGCTTTTGAACGAATCGATGGTCATCTCAACTAATTCCCCTTGTTCAAATAACGGACCCCAAAACTCCCAGCCCTAAAAGTTTCAAATTGCCATCGCTAAGTTCTAGGGATCGTCAGACGGAACAACTCGGCACCGCCGGATAATCGGAAATGGCTGACGATGAATTACCACCGCCAATTAGGTTGATGAACTTCGTTTCTGAAGAACAGGTTCTCCCTCAATTCTCACAATTATTGTTAATAATTCACAGATTCAAAAGCGATTTTGCTTACCATTTTAGTGTCTCAATTAGTGCTTTCTACTTCTTTCTTTTTGTCCTGTTTTCGAAATAAACAAATGAGGAATTGCAGTTGGAAGAAGCTCGGAAAACTAGGGGTGCTCGAGTCGAGGACGGTACTGCCCAGAGAGATAGGTCCCTTTACGAGGTCATATTTTTCTACCTTTTATTATGCCTTAATATCAGTATTTTCATTCATATATTGTAAGTACTACTCTTTTACTGTGGATAGACACACTTCAGAAGTTAGTTACTGTTCTTTTTTGGGATTTGCAGATTTTAAAGGAGAATAAGGACAAGAAAGACTCAGAATTCAGTGAACGTTTCAAGCACAGTAAGTTTTCAACTTATACGTGGAAAATATGTTACTTAATTATTGGAATTGTTGTGAAAATTTTCCTCGTCTGAGGTTTTCTCCATTTATAGTACTTGGTTGAAATATGAGAATAGCGTCGTTCTGGACCACAAAATTAGGTATCAGCTGATGAAATTAGTTTCATGATTAAGCTTTTACTGTGGTTTTTTCTTCGCCTTTTACAATTCAATTTCCTAGCAAAAGTTGCGAATCTTTGCATATGGGGTATTGTTTGTTGAAATTTTATATATGTGGTTTGACGTCACTATGCTAAATCATGTTTTGCCAATGCGACATGTTTCTATAGCCCTTACTTAATATTTCAATGTTGCCTCCATCTTCCGAAGTTCTTAACTTTGACTTGTGAAACAAAGAATTGCATCCTTCTGTCTTGCAGGGCCACCGAAAGCTTTGGATGAAGATGAAACCGAGTTTCTTGATAAACTAGAGATGGTGAGCCTATCTCTCGTGTACTTATTGGTATACTCTGATAGAATTAGCCAGTTAAGGTTGTAAATTACTTGTATGACACCAGCTTTTATATATGTGTCCTCATTGTGAACCTCCATTATGTTGGAATAATACAGATTAGATATCCATCTATGCCAACACTGCAGTTTAGGTGTTGATTATATTTCGACCATTTGGACTTTGGAGTTCATCAATAAAGTCAACTAAGCCTTACCCAATGGATATTTTGTTGTTGATATCTTAAAATTCTTTTAATTAAAACACAAAATTCTCCTGTCCTGAATTTTTAATCCCTTGGTTAGTCTTCTGCTTTCGATTTGGCAAATGTTTGGTGCCTAATTTTTATGTTTATTTAATTATAAAGAAATAACCTATAAATTGATTAAACTCGAATCAAATTACAATTTTTTGAAAACTTATTTTGATTAAAAAACTTAATAAGCCGATATCAGTTTCCCTAAAGAAATCATTAGGTTGACTGCTGAACTTAAGCCAAGGGGGTAAATGTGTGACAGAGAGTAGTAATTAGTCTTCCAGCTTGTCTTTTTACTGTTAATTTTGGAGGTTCCAATTAGAAAGTCAATCGAGCATATTTTGTTGACCTTTAGTTTATTATTTCCATACCTATTTTTTTCGGAAAATGGGATTTCTTTTAGTTTTTCCACGAGTTATATATTAGCGTGAGCTCATGTGCCCATTTATTTAAATTTCAATACCAAGCTACTAGTTATTGTAGATATAAGAGGAAGCTTTAGGTTTCATAGACTTCAAATTACAAATGCAATTTATTAGGTCTTAGAACCCATTGAGTTTATGCAATTTATATTTTGATATTTTATACTCATTTAGTCAAAGAGAGAACATGAACGCCAAATGGCAGATGAAGAAGAGCAGCAACTACAAAGTTTTCAGGTAAATTTCTAATCGTTTTTCAACTTTTCTCATGATATTAATTTGATATATGACATATTTTTATGTTATTGTAATGTTGGCTTTTAGGCAGCAGTAACAGCACAGTCTGCAATGGTGCACGAGCTAAAGGAGGCACCTTTAATTCCTAAAGTCCAGGCATTTTAATATATTATTAGCACTTTTCTCTTCTCATATGTTGCAGTATTTTCTTTGACTATCCCTTTTTGTTGTGTGGTGTGGGGGAAGGAGGAGGTCTGCAGATGGGAATGTTATAATAGCTTGTTTGACAGGGATATTATGTCTGTAGATTCTTTTGGCTGGCTTGGTCACTGTACTAGTTGTCTATGTTTCTTATCACAAATTAAGGGTCATCATATATAAACTAGTTGTACTTTTCAGAGAACGCACTTAAAAGGGGTTATTTTCGCATCGAATTTCTGTGCCATTTACAATGTATGTTTTTGGAGATGTTTGTAGTGTGCATTAGTTGTTGAAGAACGAAGTACTGAATGCTCGTTAAAACTGTGCTCTCTGTTCTTTCTCTTGGATGTGTTAGCTTTGATTTCCTTCTGTTTGGAAATTGAATGTACTACTTCATCTTTGTTGAGCGAGTGCTAATGGAATGAATAGAGTTCAGGGGCTTATGCCAAGTTTTCAACAGATGAAACCTTGATTGATCCTTTCTTTCATCTTAATCACATGCATTTTTACAAGACTCCCTGGCGTAGGAGTGTATAATTTGACAACAAACAAGAAGCGAAAGGGTACAAAGAAGAGAAGAATTGAGGGTAAAGAAAATAAATTTTTATTAATATATTAAGGGTTACGGAGTTACAATGATTAAGCCCTTATTTATAGAGCAAAAAACTAAAAGAAAATCAAATTAAATGAACTTCTAATAAACTAGAATCTTACCTAAATATTAAATCTAATCCAATCTAATTAAGTGTGTTTTGAATCAAGCTCTTATTATAAATCCTAACTAACTTCTAATTCTATTCTATTTTTATCTGTATCTCCATTCTTGTTGGCCGAGAGAACTCGATTTCAACAAGGTAGACTGGAACTTCATACTTTAAGTAGGTCGATGTTTTGTCTTGGCCAAAACATCATCTAGCTGAACATGGGGACGATCCTTATGAACCAAATAATGAAATTGATAATGTGACAAATAAAGCTCCAAATCATCCCAAAAAATGTGATCTAACCAATGGGGACGATATCTCCTAACCAATTTCACATGGAACTCCAAAAAACAAAAAATTTATGCAACTCATCCACAAAACTTTCAATTGGTTGTGCATAGTGAATACAAGAAACTAGCATTGTAATTGGTCTGTCCAAAAAAATGATTATAACATCGAAGGCTTAAATGGGGCCCAATAAGGAAGCAATTCTTCTATATTGAAAATATAACTTTCATTCAAGTGTGATGACTAATCAAATATATTATCTTTATGTGAATGATCAAACACTCTTTTCTTTAACATGTTTAGGAAACCGAGTCAATGAGACGCAACGAATAATCACCATTAAAGTCTCCAACCTACATTGCGCATAAAAAAATAAGCTCACAAGTTTCATGATGGAAAATAATTTTCTTTTAATCTTGATATGAAATTTATAAACGTTGATAATTAGGCGAGCTAAAGCAATAAGTCAACAATTAGTAGACAACATCCTAATATCAATAGGAAAAGTGGTGCACATGGATAATTGCCTTAGGAAACATCTATGCATAATATCACAACAAAGTCAACTTTAAAAGCACATACACATTTAGGTTGGGCTTGGGGATTGGTTTTTGGAGGTTGGGATGTGGGTGAAGTATTAAATTGGTTTTTAGATTAAAGGTTTGGGCCGTGGGTCTGTTGGGGGGTTGTTATTATTTTTGGAATTGGGCTTAAACGGATTGATGTCGGCTGATTTATTGGTGAGTGAGTCGGGAATTTTTGTGGATTTAGAGCCCGTTTGGTGCACATTAAAATGAGAGAATGCATTTTTTTGAAGTGATGTTATGGGGAATATGTGGTTGAAAAAGAAAGAAAAGTTATTGATGTGATGGAAAATATTATTTTATTGAAGAATGCGTGCTTGAAAGTTATTATTTTTGGAATTGGGCTTAAACGGATTGATGTCGGCTGATTTATTGGTGAGTGAGTCGGGAATTTTTGTGGATTTAGAGCCCGTTTGGTGCACATTAAAATGAGAGAATGCATTTTTTTGAAGTGATGTTATGGGGAATATGTGGTTGAAAAAGAAAGAAAAGTTATTGATGTGATGGAAAATATTATTTTATTGAAGAATGCGTGGTTGAAAATGAGTAGAATAATGAGAATGAAAAAAATAATGTGGATTAAACAGGGGCTTAGGATAAACTTTTATTTGGACTGTTTAATGGGTTATGGTATGGGATTGGGGTTTTGGGCTTGGCTTGCAGTTTTTGGTGTGTTGTGATTGGGCTTTTAAGAATGGAATAAGGGTTTGGATATGGTGGATTGTTGTGGAGGTTGTTAAAAACGGCAACTTTCATCAGCAGCATAAAACGACGATGACTTTTTTTTGAGCTCAACTATAAAGAGAACTACATAACAGATGAATTAATTGTTGCGTTCCCTTTTTTTTTTGAAAACTAATCTAAACTACTAAACGGAAGAAAGCTGCTATTGTGGAGACGATTTTTTCTTACGTTTTGTGTTGTTTTACGATTTTTGTGTATGAAGGTAAATGAGGCTTAAATGGGTGTTGAAAGGCACGGTGTGTATATAAATTGGATGGAAACGGTTGGTTAGTTTAGGTTTGATTTTTAAATTTGAGATGTAGGACAAAGGAGAACGAATTGCTACTTGACGCAGGAGCATATAGTTTGACAACGAATAAGAGAGTTGCAAAGAAGAGAAGAATTGAGGGCATAGAAAATCAATTTTTATTCATATATTAGCGGTTATGAATTACAATGATTAAGCCCTTTATTTATAGATCAAGAAACCAAAAGAAACTAAAATCAAATGAACTTTTAATATTCTAGAATCTTATCGAAATATTAAGCTTGTGTTTGGCACCTATTTTTGGGAAATTATAAATTTTGGAATAATGATTGATGGAAGAATGTGTGGTTGAAGACTAATGAAAAGTTCTAGATTTGTGTGTAATATTATTTTATTTGGAGAATGTGTGGTTATAATTAAGAAAGAAAAATTTTAAAAAAATTAATGGGTGCAAAACATCCTTTAAATATAATCTAATTAACTAATTTAATTAAATATATGTTTTGAATCAAACTTTTATTGTAAAATCCTAACTAATTTCTAATTCTATTCTATCTTCATCTGTATCTCCATCACTCCCCTAATACAATGGTTCCCCTACTGAATTAAGATGGAGCCAACCTCCTAAAAAATGGCTCTACCTATGCCTCCCTACTCCCTACCCAAAAAGAGAGTAAAAAATTAAAATTGTGGATGATATTCTCTTGATTAGTTTGTGAGAGCAAAGGACAACCAGAGAGTCACCTATAGCCAAGTGAATTTTTAGATATTGAAGAGACTGCTATATTAGTAACAACATCAATGCTGAAGAACTTCTACGGCTAAGGGAAAGAAATTAGCACTAGTACCCATTTAGGATAAGTTGCATAGGATCCAAGACAAGTTTTTTATCCCTTGTGTTCCCTTTCTTAGATTGGAGGACATGGGGGGTTTGGAAAAGAGTGGATTATGCCTTGAAGAAAAAATCTTGGCATATAACGGGCTTTGCTGGAGTAAGTGGAATATTGGCTATGAAATTAAGGTGGATGACTAGGGGGAAAATTTCTTCAATATGGATGAGTAAAAGTAGACTCCATGCTTCAGCAACAGTAGCATGAGATGGAAAAAGTTATGAGGTTAGATGAAGATGAAGCAAATGGTTGTTGAAAGTTTCTTAAATGTTATAGAGTGTACTAAATACTAATTATTGGAAATAGTAAAGAAAAGTTGCGGATGTTGTTGGAAGACCTTGAAAAAGGTGTGAATCAAACAAGCAATAGGGAGAAAGAAGGAAATATTTTGGGTTTACGTGTAGAGTATTTTATCGTGTGAATGTGTTGAGTATAGAAAAAAAGTTTGAAAATAATGGTTGTCAAATAGGGGCCTAATACAATTTATTCTTATTATCCACCTACTCTGTTAAATATGGAGAAATTTCAAGAAATACTGAAACTACTGTAGTTATGGAGATTCTTGGTCCCTCAAGGTTGCAAATGATTGCCAGAAAGGTAAATCTGGATTACATCAAGAATCACAGTATATGCCTCTTTTGGAGTGGGTTTTGGGTTGGTGGGTGGGTGAGCAGGAATTCATAGGCCTCATTACACTCATTCCAAAGGCAAAAAAAGATGGTTCTGGATAAGAAATTTATCCAGGAATTATTATTTAAGCTTGATGATCAGAAATGATTATTTAAGATGTAATAATCACACAACTTCAAATGCTAATTGAAGAACTTCTGGCCAAGAATGCTTTATTAATATGCACCCACAAATACTTAGAAAACTAGTATGCCTAAAGACTTTCCAAAATGTGGAAATATAGAGCTTGTAATAGCATTATCTGGTTGTGGTGTAAACTTGACTCTGTTGAGAAAGATGGTTCTGGATAAGAAATTTATGCTTTCTATGAAGTCTTAAATCATTTGCCTATTGGATTTATTTTTCGGACTAGATTTTGAAGTTTTCATTCCTTGTTTTTAATGTGTTTTTTAAGTATTGGTAAGTGTAAAATCAGGGTTTGTTACTATGAGTTCCTCTCTATGCAGGATCAAAGATCAGTTGGAAGGAAGAACCCCTCATCTCGTCCATTGGGCATTGTAATAAAAGTCAAGCCACAAGCGAAGAAAGCAAAAATGAATCCCGCAAATCCAAAGGAACCTTTAAATGCTGCCAGCATACCTAATGGTGACACAGAAGAGCCTTTGGAATCGGCAAATTTACTTAGTGTTGATACTAAAGAATCTGTAAGCTCAGTGGAAATGAAAAATGGAGATAGTAATGTGTCTGGTTTTGTTGCTAGTGGTGGTTTAGTTTCATATAGTGATGAAAGTGAAGATGATGACTAATCCTGTTGACTGAGGCATTTATTTACTTGTGAGAATATATAATGTATTTCTTTGGCTTGCTTATATTTTAATTAATATGCATAAATTGCAATAGACCCGCAACAGTGGTCTAGATAATGTTGACGTTGAATCATGTGGCAGTCTTTTGATCAATTTTGGGGGTGAGTGCGCCAAAGATTTGTGAAACAGGAGCTCGTTCAGCCAAATGGCCATCAAACTGAGGCGGGATATGGCGGCCAAAGGAATTTCACTGCTAATATCAAAGATGGTCTAGGGTAATTTTTGCAGAACAGTGATTTAATACCTGCCTGTCATATGCTCCTAGCCACTTTTTATTAGGATCCTTTGGTTGGTCATTGCCTTTGTTCAATAGTAATTAGTTTGGATGGATATGGGTAATGGTACCTTGTTGGGGGGAACTCGAGTTTCCATTGGTTGTCATAATTGGAACTTGCGCACCAGAACCATATCGTTTAATTTCTGTCACATTTTGATAACTCATTATGCATGTGTTGATATACTTTCTGATAAGCGTGTTATGCTTTGCCGCTTCAAATATATCTTTGTTCACATTTTGGTGATTAAGTGGCAAGCCTACATTCTGTGATTGAAGTCAGCTACATGCCCAACTTAGACACCTGTGTCCTGATAGAATACCTGGTGCTACTGTTGTTAATTCTGCTTCTCTACTGATCCGCTGCTACTCTGCAGAGACTGACTGAGGACATAACGCTAGTGCTGCTTCTATGGTTCACCTGTTCTGTAGTAGTTGCTTCAATAGAGTTGAGATAGGTTAGTGATGTGAATGTGGGATAATGTATTCCGGAATGAGAAGTACTGTGATAGATTGATGCAATATAGTGAGGGAGATTTGGAATTGTAACTGAAAGTGAGGTATTTATTAAGCAAGAACTGAATGACAAATTCCAAGGCTATTCAAGAGGCTTGGTCTTTCCTATCTCACTAAACGCGTGTTTCCATGCCCAATAGTGTTCCCTCCCTCCCCTTTTAACTAATTGATTTGGGAATTAATCAATCCCCTGCTTTTGCTGCGTCAATGTTGGCTGGTTCTTTTCCTTTCTTTCTCGTGACACAAGTGAATATGAAACCACCACTCCCTCCCCCACCCCCGGGAAATTCACATTGTCCTCGAGGTGGAAACAAGGGAATTACTGCCTGATGGATTCGAATGGTTCCCAAGAAGCTTCAAAGGTTGGGCAATCCTTCCAGTTGATCAACACCTCTGGTCTTAATGCTGTCAGTACAAGGCCCGATCCCAAGGACCGCTTTAAGTTCAAACAATAATTCCCCATGTGCCGTTAGTTGTGGAGGGAGTGGAGAAATAGTTTGAATAGCCCCAATAACTTTTAGGTGTGAAACTCGAAAGACATGATGTATAATTGAAATGGAAAGAAGTTTCGGCTATAAGGCCACCTTACCAACTCTCGATTCTACCTCAAATGGACCATAGAACGTTGAGGATGGATAGCTTTCATACTGTCCTCTAGCCACAGATTCTGACGATAGGGATGTAATATAAGGTACACCTACTCCCCAACCTCGAACTGTATATCATAGTGATGCATGTTAGCCCCTTGTTTCATCCTCTATTGATCACGTGGAAGCTTCACCTTAAGTTACTATATCGTCTCTGACAATTCGGTCCACAAACAATTTCTATACCATGGAGACGACAGTAACCCCCTTTCCAAATGGCAGAATGGGTGGTGGTTCGCGGCCATAGACAATTTGAAAAGTGGTTTGTTTGGTTGAAGTATGGAAGGAGGTGTTATACCAAAACTCTGCTCATGGCAGCCACGGACTCCAAGCACGCAGCCTGCTGGAAGCAAAACATCTCAAATATGTTTCTAAACATCGGTTCTCTACCTCTGTTTGGCCATCAGTCTGTGTGTGGAAAGATGTACTATGTTTGAGTGTTGTCCTCCGAGCTTTGAATAACTTCACCTAAAATTTACTGAAGAAAATTCGGTCTTGATTAGATACAATAGAGTGGAGTACCTCATGCAGGCGTACTATCTCATGAACAAACGCCTCGGCCACCAAGGATGCTGTAAAGGGATGTTTTAGGCCGACAAAGTGTCCATATTTACTCAAACGACCCACTACAACCATAATAGTGTCCCAACTATCCGATCGTGGCAATCCTTTAATGAAATCCATCGTGATATCTGCCCAAACCAAGTCAGGAATTGGCAGGGTTTGTAAAAGTCCATTTGGTGACAAAGACATATATTCTGTTGACACACAACACAATGAGCCACATACAATATATTTAATATCCTTCTTCATCCTTTACCAATATACCTCACGCCCCACCCTTATATATGTTTTGAGAAATCCTACATGTCTCCCAACATTAGTATCATGGCACTCTTGTAACATCACATGGATCAAGGAAGAACGTTTGGATAGCACTAACTTTCCATGATAGAATAAGACCTCGTCATTCAAGTAACCTGCCTTGGTCTCTTTCCTGGCCAGCAATTTTGAAATTAATTTTCCCAGCTCCCTGTCTATGATTACCTCGTTTCTAAGACCTTCTGATTTTACAGACATGGGAACTAAAATAGTGAGTGCATTGGGGCTAGTTCTAGTCTGGACAATGTGTTGACCCCGTTTTTCGTAACGTCAACGTGGACAATAGATGTCAGGCTCACTCACGCCAACTTAAGCAAGTTTCGGCGCATTTTGACCAGAGAATCGGTGGGAAAAGGAAAGCGCGTGAACGCGGGAGATGCTTTACCACACGAGACAAAAATGTTCGAGGACCGGTAATAGTGACAAAAATGATAGCACTAACAAACAATCACCAACGAAGTGTCAATAACTAATAAATATAGAACAAGCAAGAAGGTATAGTGGGAGTATTTTTCTTGAGTTTATTCTTGTATATTATAATCAGTAATCAAAAGACCATCATTTACAATTTACAGAAACCACTTATTTATAGATTTCTGGCCGACGTAGTGATCATGGATCAGAACCACGTGGGCCCATCTCTTTGACTAAAACCTCACATCACTAAGTCTATCATACATTAAATACATCGACAACGGGTTAGCCACCCTATACATTTGGCTGACATACCCGACGTTATTTATTACAAACGTTACATTAATTATTCCTAAAAATTGCCTACAAATCTTGTGAGAGACAACTTCAAGGACTTCGGATGAACTAAGGGCTTCAGCCGTAGGGAGCTTCGTATTAGTAGTCTTCTATGTGAAGAGCTTCATCTTCTTCTTTGATTTCTTACGAGCGCTTCGGTTTAAGAGTTTCAGCCATTTAGACAGTGCTTCGATACATGAGCTTCAACCTTTGTTTGACTTTTTACATTTGACCAATTGGGTCTTAGTTGACTTTCCTCTCCACGTGGACTATAACGTGGTACTTTGACAGGCGCCTCGGTGGCGAGGCATAATAATAGGCATGATTGTTTTTGTAATGTGTAGACTTGTATGAAATTTTTTGTTAGGGGTCGTTTTTACACACCTTAATAGTCCTTCAAGTCTAAGTATAAATATTTATATTATAATTAGAATTTCAAAGTAGCTGATTTTCATGAATTCCCTATCAATGTTGTCCGAAATTGTGCACCTTGTGACTTCCAAATGTCTGGAATAAGTTGGAGGAGCATCAGCAGAACAAATTTTGTCCAAGGTTGTTATCTCTTAAGTGGCTTGTATATCTGTAGCCTCTTATCTGAAGCGGTTGAGGTGAGGTGCCTTCGCTACTTGCCGAGGCTGCGACTTATTAGTTAAAGAGAACCATGTTTTTTGAAACGTTGGGAACACGAGGTGTCCTTAATTGTTGCGCCTAAATGATTTGCTGTTTCGTACGTTTTCAAGAAAAGACAGTTGAAACGGTTTGTCTTCCCATACATGCAACCACTACTGCATTTAATGCTCAATGATGGCTGTTATATGCGTTTCCTACAAAATGTAGACGTATTGGAACGCGTGATACAGACATGCTGATCTAGGCCATAAAAGGCGAAGCGTCTGATGTATTGAGTGACTTAGATTTAAATCTCAAATGAACGGTTGGATGATCTGGATTGACATCTAATGGCTGGGATTAAGAGTTTCTGTCTATAAAAGACGATAGGTTAGGGCAAAAAATCACTTCGCCTTTACGAAATCAGCAACCCAATCCTTTAAATCTCTCATTCTCATTTCTTCTTTTTCTTTTGCATTTGCAAATTCCAGTAACTTTTCTTTACCGTTCTTTATATAATTTGTAAGTACTTTAAACTTTTTAACTCAAAACTTAATGGCGTCTTCACATTATGATGGGGGATTTGGATATCAGCCAAATGACTTCTGAGATGGGAGTGACAACAACATACACGGCAGACCTGGTTCAAGCCATTAGGGTTGGATATAGTGTTTTACCTTCAGGGAAGGGTAGGAACAATGACGGGGTGGCTTGGGGGGCATCCAAAATTCCTTCAACTGAAAACGCATCCCACCTAGCAAACTTAAAGAAAAAATATCAGATTTCATATGACATTGAACTCGTATCTCCCTCTCCTAACGAGCGTGCCTGTTTTTCGAGGTAGGGGTCTGTCACAGTCAGCAAATTCCTCCTTAAGGCGGGACTTCGTCTGCCTCTCCACCCCTTCTTTAGAGCCATCTTTAAGTTGTACATGCTGGCTCCCACCCAACTCGTCCCCAATGCTTGGGTCCAATTAGTGGAAACCTACTTTTTGTGAAATGAGACCTTCCTTGGAGAAGACATGCACTCCTTGTCTTCCAGACCATCTTCCAACCCCGGGTCTTGGAAAAAAAGGATTCCAAGGGTTGGTACTCGTTATGTCGGTGGGGGTCTTTCGTCTTAGGCTTTCACTCCTCCGTCAAAGGATGGAAGGAAATATGGTTTTGGGTAAGAAGAAATAGCAGGAGTGCGAGGGTAACACAATCCCCCACGTGACAGTTCCGACCTCCTACTTAGATGCTCGTGAGTATTGTACTTGCATT